GGGGCTTGGTGTTGGTGCTATTTTGCTTTGTGGGTAAGAGTATCTGCCATACACAACTTGATGCTGACTAGTGCTCTGCCGGGCCGGGCTTGGAGCCCGAAGCCCGGCCCAGCCCGCGTCGGGCAGCCCGAGCCCGGCCCGGATCAGGGCTCGGGCTTCGGCGGGCCTGAGGCTCGGGCCTGGGAAATCCCAAGGCCCGACCTTGGGCTTCTGTTGTACCCATGCCGGGCCCGGGCTTAAAGCCTGAGGGCTCGGGCCGGGCCTGTCAAGGGCCCCGGGCTCGGGCTTGGGAATTCCACGGCCCAGGCCCGACAAAGCCGGGCCCGAAATCGGGCTGGGCTCGGGCAGCCCGGCCCGGCAGAGCACTAATGCTGACTTGCTTTATCAGTGCTATGTTCACGACTGTCACAGATAAGACCCGACCCGTCCGCTTGGGCGCTATTGTTGGAGCTGTTGTTGGATTATCGTCGGGGCTCGGGAAGCGAGCATCCAGCCAGATCGCCAGGGGCAAAAAGCTGAAGGAAACCCCCACCTCGGCCTCCTCCAACGACGGGCCACCCGTGAACATAATCTCCTCACGAGGATTGGGGGAAGAGACTACCCAAACAAAGGAGGGCCATTGATCGGCCTGCAGAAATGGCGGCACTAGTGATGACGGGAGGAGACCCAAAAGCTGGGTCAACACAATGGGCGGGGACACATCCTCCCACGGAAACACACGAAAGGCCGCTACATGGGCCAACATGAGGAAACAGTCTGAGACAAAGGACAGAAGGCCGGCGAAGGACGTACAAGACAGCACATGGTGGATGAGCCACTAAAAGGAAGAACAAGAGGGGGGTCATGAGTGAGAGACAGGTCAGCGCTTCAGAGCACGTGACCGAGGTGAATGATCGTCCCCTCTGCGGCCAGGAACGGGGCCAAGGAGGAGCAGGATAGGTCAGGGTGTCTAATTACCCCTTTGCGGGCCCACATATATTAATGTAGGATAGTGTACCACGTACTCTATTGCTTAGATTGTCTATAGTACCAGTTCTCTCTGTGCGAGGAGGAATCACTGACACAGGGGGCCTGAGACGGTCCGATTCGAACCTTTGACCACTGACAGCGACACGGGACCGAGTTAACAGGCCCTTTCAGTTTCGATCTACCCCGCCCGCCCTGCTTACGGCCCCACAATTCGTCTGTTCTGTTCCGGGCGCATGATTTTGCCACATCACATTACTACAATATAGAGTAATAAGCATAATGCATTTTCCAGAAAAGGAAATTTTCCCTTTGATGCAATCATTGGAGAATCTCACAGATAATCACCAAAATCAAAGTTGTCTATTTTGACTATATGAACAGCTTTCACTAAGTAACCTATAGTGTCATTAAGTAACCTATAGTATCAACAATGACCAATTATCAGCAGATATATAACTAATAGGCCTTTATCTTCATAAATACTGACCTATTTCATTCAATTCTGCCGGTCACAGTCACATCAGATTTTTTGGCCGAAATATTTCAGTGGGTCACAGGTCACAGCTGATTTTTTTCGGTCCCAAAGCGTCCCAATTGGGCAAAACTTCAAAATTTCCATTCCTAATCAAGTAATAGGTTTCAGCGAAACAGTTACGGGTCCCTTTGACATGCATTCAAAGTAGTATAGTTGGTACCTAGTGCTAGCTATATAGTGTATTCCCACAGGTCCTTGACCTGGTAATTTGCCACCCCAGTGATCTATAAACTGCAGGGGCCAGGTTACTGCTCGTCAGGCTTGATGTCAAGCACTACATCCCATATCTCTCCCCTCTCTACATCTGGCCTTGCCTCCTGGCAACCCACTGGCATGCTTCCCACTGACAAGCTTCCAGTGACAGACTTGTTGTGGCCATGCCATACCCATATGAATATTTGCCTCCACTCTGCCCTTGCCTCTACAGTGAGCCCAAATACCAGGAAAAAGATCAGACTGCCAGCAGGGTATAACCACCAAAATAGATATAGTTCGACTAACTCCTCATAGTCAAGGTCTGTCGGCATAAAGAGCCAGATGTCACTGAACCCATCATGGACCATTGCCCAAAATGTCCATGGCTGCAGTTCCCCATAGGCAATCATTGTGTACAATGTATACACAGTGAAGCCAGTTGTTAATGTTCCAACCAGGATTGTGATGATCATAAGGCGTAGGAAAGATGCAAAAGTCATTGCATATTTGTGTCCTCTGCTTGTGCTGTGATACTGGATACAGATGCGAACAGTGCGGTGCCGGGTGTAAAATGCATAAAAAATGCATATAGAATAGATAGGAGAGAGGAGCCCATAGAGGAAGAAAGTGAGGTTGACAATGAGGACTGCAGGCCAGGAGATATAGACTGTAGGTGCACAGCCTACTATCTCAATGATGTCAAAGCGTGCACAATGATATCTGACTACCAAGTTAGTCAACATTGATATAGGTTATGAGGTAAAACAACACACGGAGAGACATAGTGAGAAGTGGCATTCCCCAGGAAAGCCAGATGTCAATGACATGACTATAGCGTGTTGGTTCTGTAAGCTCATAACCAGATACAATCCGATAGAGCCTTCGTGCAAGACATAGACATGACCCCGACAAGCCAACTTCTGCACCTAACAGCAGCTTGGTACCTTTGATCTATCAGAGTATCATAACACAACAAAGAACATTCACATACTGATGTCACACCACACTTTAGAGGACAATCCATAATTATCCACATCCTTGTCCCAGACTGCGGAGTTTACACCCTGCGCTAGGTTGTGCACTACAAGCCAGGTAATTATTGAAAGTGTTGCAAAGCTGCGCATCCGCCAGTGATGTGGGATTGTTAAGAGGACAAGAAAAAGGGCTGTAAAGGGTGCTGCTGGTGGCAGTGCACTACTATTGGCCATGGTCAACCTCGGGGCACAGCCCACAGGCTGAGACAAAAGAAAGGAGAGGAGAGAAAGGAGATTAGGCATGCCAGGGCCATAGATCTCCTTTTTATCTCCTTGCAAGTTCGATCTAGTAGTCCAAACATAGCAGAAAGATGATCAGCAACCATAGGACTGCTATGAATAATCTGGCTATTCATACAATATCACCTGTACACGGGGTTTTTTTTAAAAAAGCCTTCTCATTACCAGTGTTAATGTTTTTAAAAAATGCCTCTAATTTATGCCCCTGCCAAAAGGCGGGTTTTACATAGGGAAATGAGAGATCAAAAAAAGGTTTAAAAGGTTGAAAAGCCTTGTCAGGGTGGGCAGTGTGGTAGCTATAAGGCCCCAGACCTGACGTGTGGAAAATTCCTTAAGTATGGGGAAAATACTGAGTAGGGGAAAGGCTAAAAAAGATGAAAAAAATTGTTGATGCCAAGGTGCCAAGAAAGATACGGAGTTTGACAGCGTGGATTTTATTAAAATGAGGGGAAGACTTGTAAATCACTGATGTTTTTTAAAAATGTTAATATTCTAATTACAAGGGATCTTTTTAAAAAAAAACCCGTATACGCCTGACAATATTCTCACTGTTATTTGGCCTATGATGGGACTGTAACAGATATCAACAAAACTAAAGGTAGCATTTGATATCCTTGCACCTGTGATAGATGACCACCAGGAGAGCCATCACAGACAACAAACAAAAAAAATGAGAAGATGCTATAGCATGCACACCTCTGTGATTCTTTAGGGTGATTGGAATAATCATATCTACGACTTAGCAGAGCATCTATTATCAATTGATAAGTTTGTTGATCATGTTCGGATGGCTCAGCGGTTTCTGTGAACCCTGTAGCAGGTAGTTCACAACACAGCTCAGCCGAACTGCGGGTTGTATGCAACAATGCTATTTCAGATAAGTGAAGCTTAAGCATAGGTAGACAGGAGGAGCGCAAGCACACTCAGGCTTGTGGAATAGACATTCTCCAGCACAACAGGCTTGATCCTGATCTCTCATCAACAACTTCAAGAGGGCATGGTTGAGTGAGACACGCACCAGTCTTTCACCAAGCCAAAAAAGGAAAGAGCAGCCTGATCAGCTGCGGTATGCTGTTGTGATCTTGAACAGCTGCATGTGTGAACATCATCTCTGGCCGGAAAGATCGTGTAAAAGGGATGGTCGATGCATATGGTGGTTTCCCGCAAGTTTGGCACACTATCACGCAGGCGGATTGATCGCCAGGCGTAAGTCCGATCAACACGCCACTTGCTTGTCCCGGACGACCACCAACGGGGTAGCAGGGGGAGGTGATACCGCCCCACATGCTGGGAAGTCGTTCGGAGAGTAGGTGGGTGCACGCACTCTTCTCCTTCCGCCTGGATTCCGAGTCGGCCTCCGGGGGACCCTGGTCCCTGTTCGGCGGACCGACCGATACATTGCTGCCATGCTTCAACCTCGCTCGAGAATGAAAACAGCATCACCAATTCAATCTCAGGCTCCCCATAGTACTAGGGCAAATCCCACTAACCAATTTTCATTCTTCGTCAGCGCAATCCGCGGAGCTACACTCATACACCAAGAAAACCACTGCACTTCCTTTCAGCCCAACGCCCGCCCCCCTTTGGCGCTCTATCTACTCCTCCTTCTCCGGACCACCCGGCACCAGCACCGGCACGCCCTCGCCCGCCTCCGTAAGCTCGGTGATGTCCGCCAGCGGGCGCGGGTGGGGGGACGCGTACATCTCCGAGTCTGGGGACGGCGTCCGCAGCGGCGGCGGCGTCCACGGCGCGGGGGGGCACGAGCGGGGCCGCGTCCGCGTTAAACGACGGGTAGGGCGGACGCGTGGTGGTCGGAGCTAGCGCCGGGAAAATGGGGCGGGCGGCCCAGCCGGCGCCGGGGTGCCATGCGTCGGGGCCGGTGCTGAAGGCCGGGTAGGTGGCGAAGGTACTCGGGGTGCCCGGCTTCGGGGAGGGGGTGTAGCGCGATCCCAGTGGTGCTGCGGGGTAGATCGGTACTGAGGCTGGCGCAACGCTGCAGGCCACGGTCACAGGCATGTCAGTGGGCGTCACGAGGGGGGGGACCGAGTCCGGCCAGCGCCCGTGGGCGTCCTCGAGGTGGGCCCGCAGCGCGGACCTGTCGGCGAAGCCGCGCGGACAGTCGACACACGCGCACTTCGCCACGACGGGCGGGATGCGGAGGACGTAGCCCCAGGCGTGGACGCCCTGCATGTGCCTTCGCAGGTCGAAGGCATCGGGGAGGACCGCGGGGCAGTCGACGCACTTGTAGCCGTCGCTGGCGGCCGGCGTGGCGGGGTACTGCGCCCAGCCGTGGCAGTCCTCCATGTGGTCGGCGAGCTGGCCGGGGAGGGAGAACAGCGCGGGGCAGTCGACGCAGCGGTAGTGCTCGTTGGAGTGATGGTGGGGAATGGTGCGGGGACGATGGGCTGGACGGGTGGGATGTACGGTGCGTTGGTGGCAGGCGTCACAATGGGGAGTACAGCCTTTTCTTCAAGGGGTACACCACTCTCCAGATCATTGACGGCCTTGTTCTTCTTAAGATACCCGTAGACAGCACCAGCGGCGCAGCCCCAGAACGCAGCGAGCAACAGCGCTGCACCGCGCACGACGAGCAGCTCTGCATCCGAGTCGACGGTGCCAAGCACGAGCCCGTCCACGCCGAAGGCAACGGCGCCTGCGACGACGGCAAGCGCGAGCGAGAGCGGGACGAGCAGGCGGAGGAGGGTGGTGTGCAGCGACATGGGGGTGGGAAGGAGAGGAGTCACAGAAGCGCTCCCGGGCACGCGCACTTTATAGCGCTCGAAATAGGCCGCGTAATAGGCACGCGGCGGTCTATCGGCGCATCCGCATCGGGCAGTGCGAGTCGGTGCCGCGCTTCTGATGACTCCCAGCACCTCGAGGCCGGGCTGTGGCGCCATTTGGAATGATCTGGAAACTTCTCTTCGCTGGAGTGTGGGCGAGCACTAGCGCGTGGCGATGCGAGCCCGTTGTGCATCAGTGCGAATGCGCTGGCAGACGCCGTAGGATAGACGCTGCAGAGCTCATGACGGGGGAGAAAAGAAAGACACGTAACCACGTCACTCGCCGTCACGCCACGTCACTGGCCGTCACGCCGGCTGACGCGGCCGGCGGATGCCGGGCCGATTCACAAATCACGATGCGGTCATTGTATGTATTTGTCCATCGCAATGGCAAGGTGTAACAGCAAGGACGCTATTTATGTCCAACGAGCCCACTCAGGCTGTCTACGAGCAAATCTACCCCCAGCTCCGAGTCAGACCACATTTTATCCTTGCATCAGCGTAAGCGGAACAAGGGGGGTTCGAGATCCTCATCAGGGACCTGGGGTAGGGGGGGTCCCCAGGAGGTAAACAAAATTTTTTGTATATAAAAGATTTGGGCCTTATATGGGTATAAATGTTGAAGATTGACGTGTCACCAGTGCGACTCGCCGTGATTCTTCTAGATTATTCTGCCCGCATGCTTACATACCATTCAGAACACTGTAGAATATACTAGATATATGGACTGTAGTGTATATACCGAAAATAACTTTGGTGTTGGGCATCGTTTGCCCTAATGCATCGAACTCTCACCAGTTTGCGATTGCAAACATCTCTTGCTCCTTTTGATCCCATCATTCCTCGGATCAATCGCCATTTTCAACAGTAAAGACACTGGAAATATAGTGTATACTGTATCAATTTATTCAATTCGGCGGTCAGGCTTCACACCCGGACCTCCGGCACCAAAATATTTCGGCGTGTCACAACTTATTATTCAGATGCCGAATGTCAGACGGCCATCGGGCCGCTGAATATGCCGAATTTTTTCCGGCGGTCACACGGCGGGCAATGTGAAGTCCTTTGGCTAAAGTGTCGCCATTGTCCCTTTCCATCTTATGGATGCTTTGTTAAGGCTTTGTTGGAGCTTTGTTACCTCTGTTCATTAAAAATATTTACAAAAGCAATAATAGCGGTAAAAGCAACTATATTGTGAGGCCACTGGCATCAAGAGTGTCGGAGCGAGATTTCACTCCAAAATATGAATATTAATTCCATAACTCATGAGACCATCTCCCACCAGCGGCCCGCTTTCCCGAGGCCCGCCTGACTATGATGGAGATACGGCGTATGCAACTGAGTGGTTGTTGCCATCGACTTGGTATTGCTGGAGGCAGCCATCATCCAGTGACAAGATTGCCCCGGCAGCCCGGCCGATCACTGGCCCGGACATGCTGGGCCCGGCAGGCCAAGCAGCGGGCCAGCGGGTTCAGGGCAGCCCACCTGAGGTTCAGGGCGGCCCGCACCCGCACCCGCGGAAGCCGGTTCTCACATGATGTAGCCACTCAGTGCAAGTCCTCTGCCAGGCCAGGGCGGGCGGGGCGGCCGGCCCGGCCTGATTTCAGGCTAGGCTTTGTCGGCCTGGCACTGCCCCTCAACACTCCCGCCGGGTCGGGTTCATGGTGTAGTAACGACATCAGAACTGCCAGGGTAGGGCTGTATACGTAGACTCGGAGGGAATTGATGAGGATGCTTGTGTCATTGCAGCGCATGCGAGGACGAAGAGGGACTGCACTGTTGGCGGCCAAACTTCTTCCGTCATCAAGTTGCAAATCCAATAGAAAGGCTGCAAAATTGCGCTCCTCCTGCCGCCAAGCACATGTTTTGATGTAACTTCACCTGTAGGAAATCATAAATGCAGCCCCAGAGATCATGATGTGAATGCCGAATAGACGCGCAAGAGCCCTTTCGGACAACGGGCAGGATTTGTTGGAAATCACCACCAATCCTACCAAAGTCGGTGTTGATGCCATAAAATTGGAAATGTTGGTAAAAACTGGAAACTCAAAGAAGGAAGTAAGTATTATTTTAGGCCATAGTACTTGTATGTATAAGTACTTAATATAGAGGCACCAAAGCGCAGTGGCAAGGGACGCCCAAGGGACACTGGGCAACTCTTTGCCAAAGGACTTAGAGTTGCCTGCCGTGTCACACAGATTACCAGGCAGCGCTGAAATTTTCATTTCGGCGCCGATATCACACAGTTTTTCATCGCCGAATTGAATAAATTATTACAGTATACTCCAATTTCTATACCTCACAACTCTCATACTTACATCTATATACTTCCAGGCCCATGAGCTTGGATAGCCCACTCTCTCAAAGGTCCATCATCAGGTAATTGATGAGAGGTGCACATGTTGAGGAGTTGATATGGCCTGCCATGTGTGCTTGTTACAGACATACATACACATATACACATACCCATATATAAAAAAAAATTGCAAAAAAAGTTTCACAAAGATTGAATTTTTTATCCCACTTTTTGATCACATATTACCCGATATGGCAGGAGGGGGAGGTCCTCCAGCGGTCAGAAGAAAAAGTTCCTACCCTATATTCATGATTCAAGACTTGAACCCCCCCTTGAAGCGGAACACTGAAACACTGTTCTGCGAGAAATTGTCACCATATGGACAGCGCTGGATAAATCGTGCGTACGGGTACAGCAGGTGGTGCACGCCCCGGACTGACCCTATCGCACTCCCGTGTGGCGTGCACGGACACCCAACTCCCCGCTCACGGTGCGCAACAGCCTGTACACCGCAGCAAGCACTATTGCATGTATTGGTGGACCTCTTGCATGCGGTGTCGCCTTATCACTAATACTCTAGCGTATAAAGTTGTACCTATAGGATGTAGTTATCAGGCTAATATTGTCTATTCTCTGTGCTAAACCCCATCATTTCATGCTCCTCAGACCCATTCGCAGTTCGACGACACTGACATTAACAGTGCAGTGCATCTATTTCTGGGCTTTAGAAACACTTTGACACTCTCTTGAAAATCACCCTAAGGTCAAATTATTTCCTTTTGCTGTGCAACCAAATTTTATGTTGCCTGAGTTACTAATATAATCAACAGAGAGTTCACTTTAATGGTTGAAGTAGATGGAAAAGGTTGTTACAGCTGAAGGAATTATGTTTCCTCTCTGTTAATATACACTAGATCATAAAGATAAACAAGATATTCAAGCTCATTGTGGAACAAAGTGCTCAATCTGGGTCTGATCACCAAAACCATTTATAACTAGTTTTGAACATTTATTACTGCTTGTGTTTGTGTTTCTTATTTAAAATTTTCATAACTAGAAATAAAATAGTTAGTAATTAGTCCCTTTGTGATGATGTGATGTCACATACTAGTGTTGGTGTCCAAGGCTAAGGTTACCTTGCAAGATTCCTGTTAGGATTTAGATCCGGTGTCCCCCAGTCAACCGGGAGACAATCCCAGCGCATGTGATAATTAATACAGGGTGTATTTAAATTGCGTGGGGCGCTGTCGGCACCCCACTTTGTTACGTCCACTTTCCATCGGTTTCTGGTCAACGAAGCGACTGCTATTGCTAAAAATTCCAGCCTGGGATTCATTCACTGTATAGCAGGTTTATTGGAATATTTATTTAGTAATGGCCACATTTGGTTCGAATAGTCGGTCCAAACGCACACTTAACTAGACCGAACTGGGGTTCAGTGTTTGTGTAAAATTGTGTTTGGCCAAAGCCTCTTCCAAACCAAACTGAAGCTTGGGTTCAGTGGTTTTTGTCCTAAAAAGGCCGGTTTGGGGCCGGTTGCAACTGGGGTTTGGCGTTCAGTTTCACCGAATTTGCGTTTTGAATGGAATTGGCAGTCTGGCATTTGGCCAAAATAGGCCAAGAACTGGACCAAACGAGATTTGGCCATCACTATATCTATTACAGTGTAGGGGTTTCAGAGCCATCTCTCCTAATTAAAATGGCCAGTGGGGGTACTTACTATAGTAATTTATTCAATTCGGCACCCCAAAATGGTGTGACATTGGTGCCGAAATTAAATTTTCAGCACTGCCTGTCAATGCGTGTGACACCCGAAAATTTTCGGCCTATTTAGCCAAAATCTTTTGATGCTTTGATGGTCATTTGACATTCGCCATCTGGCTGTGGGGCCCGTGACATACCAAAATATTCGGTGCCGGAGGGCCGGTTGTGACGTGTGACTGCCGAATTGAATAAATTGCTACAGTAATGGTCATTCTGATAAGAGAGGATATGTGGAATCCACAGGTGGCCTTATCTATCATAACCTAACATCTGTGAAACTGTCAGGGGAACCCTGCTTCGGCCTCCTTTGGACTGTCGTAACGCATCCGAGGCGCATCCAACCGGTGCCCCCTCGGACGCTCCAACCTATCCCGACCATCGTACAATCACCAATCCATCAAGACCCTCCCAACGATCACCTTGGGACAGAGCCTGCGATGCCGCTCAGGCCTTCTGCGCTCTACGTCAGCAGTTACGGATGACCAGTATATAGTTGGCGCCCTAGCAGGCAGTCCCTTAGAGTTTCTTCTCTTTGGATCCTCCCCTGCTAGGCTTTTGTCGGAGTCTCCAGGGTTGCCCTTACAAAAACGTCAGGATACCATAGTCAATACCTCTGGTGTAATATATACAACCAACAGCCCTGGTATATTACCCAATGAGATTATACCTAACTCAAACTTGGTGATTTTCTGCTGTGTTTATATCAGGAATTCAATGCTATCCAACCTTGGATATATAAAACATATTGACATATAGGACACAGGTGTGTGAGTTCTTAACAATCAAACACAAAGTAATACAGTTCCTTGATGATATTTCAATGAGGATATCATATATAACTCCTCATTGTCAGAGGTCCTCTCCATATCTTGGAGAGTCTCAGATATAATCTTGAAAGCTGTCTGAATTTCAGCTTTGAGGATTGATCCTACACTTTTGTCACTGAAATTATATCATTAGCAGTAATATTTAACGACAGGGCATAGTCAAACTGTACATTTCTAGATTTCGCAAGCATTGCTGAATTTCATTGAGTTGCTTCCATGACAGCCTCCACTGTGCTGCCAAGGCTGCCGCATATTGGCAAGCAAAGACTTGATAAGTAGCAGAGTCTCTGCTATCACTAAAGATTGCTAGTGCTTTATGGATCAAGTAAAGATTTTGATCTTTGCTATTTCTTGCTGCAATAGTCTCTCCCGAAGTTATGATTTTATGCAAAATCTCAACTGCCATCTCTGTATCATGTTTATGGCTGGATAGTATAAGTAATGTTACAAATGAACTATATGATTACCCACTCTATTGGCTTGTAGATAGGTATTTGGAGGGAGCATCTTCTTGTGGGTTGAGACTCCCAAGCATTGGACAACTTTTCAAGTAGAATGTCTACAAGAAGTAGGGCAATAGATGGGATCATGAATAAGGACTGAGAAGATTTGATAGTGTTCACAACTAGGGTGGCTGAAGTAGTGATGCAGCACATCTGTGCTAGAATTATATGATATTCTGCTCTATTGCATATGGTGTCAGCTGTACAGAGAAATGTCAAGGTTAAACAAAAATGAGCTGACCTGGGGTAGGTAATCATAGGGCCAACACATGCTACAAGGAGGTTGGATGGAAGTGATATTTGATTCTGGCACAACTGCCCAATGATTTTCCACATTTGCAGCTGCACTCTTGAATCAACATCATTCACCAGCACATGATAGATGGAGAGGCTTTGAGGATCATTCATTGAGGCCCCAAGTAGTTCTGCATCCCTAGCATGTTGTGTCACTCTGCTGCGCAAATCTGACAGGATCTGTAGTTTTGTGGAAACAGCAACATTGGCACCACTGGGGGGGTTAATTCGGCTAACAGCGAGTATTTGTGGATGACATACTTGAGAATCGAGATATCCCAAGATCTGATGCAGCACATCTGCTGTGAGGGGCTTATCTCCATGAGCCCGGATAAGCTTGAGCGCCTGGTGATTATGCATGAATCGAATGAGCGGCTTTGCAGCGGTATGCAGGTTGATTGTGGGCCCTTGTGCATCGGAGTGCGACCAGTCGCTGCCAAGCGTGGTCAAGGGGGAAAGTTGGGGCATGGTCGTGCGAGGGAAGGCGCGGCCGTTCTAAGTAGGATATGCCTGCCTGTCACGGTGGAGCCGGAATTTGCAATTGATTCCGGGTTACTAGGTAATCCAGAACCAATTGCATCAGTAAAACAGCATGTTCGTCTTTTTCGTCTTTCTGGTCTTTCGAAAGACCGGAAAGACGAAAAAGACCAAAGACGTGACATCTTTCATAAGTAGGTTCACCTATCTTGCGGCAAGACCATTGTCTTTCAAAAGACTGAGAAGTCTTATGAAAGTGCGCTCAAAGATTCCGATACATCCTCATAAGACACAGGAAAAGATGTCCAAAGACATAATAATATTGGCTTATGTAGCTACGAATACCACCGCTCGACTACAGCCAGTCACCGTCGCTGCGCAGCGAGTCCTCACTCGCGCAGCCAGTAACCGTCGCGCAGCCAGTCCCCCCTTGCGCGGCCAGTTCCCCTCGCGCACACCTGACCCAAATTTCCCACCAGACACTGCGCATCAGTGCGGAGTGCATGTCGGAAGTATTTGCGCTGCCGCCACTGCGAAGATATGAATCCAAGCATGCGCTGCGGAGCATAACAACTCACCAGTTTAGTCTCCGACACCCCGACATCCTCCCTCGCAGCCTCGCCTTATCCACTCGTTCGTCGTTGTGGTAATGTTTCGGTTGAGTTGCGAGCAGCATTGAGGAGAAATTAGTATCTTGAAAGATATTGCATATGGAAGCGCTCTTGAAGCTTCTTGAGGTTCTTGCGGCTACTTGTGAGGCTCATTGGCATGGCAGGCTGCTTGCTGGGCTTGAGGCTTTGAGACGGGAGTTAGGAACATGCTTGCTTTGAGTTGACGGTTGATGGTTGACGGCTGTAGGGGAGAGCATTGAGTGGACGATAGAGTGGCGGCTGGGGACATGGAGGGAAGAGCAGAGAAGAAAATTGCCCATCGATCGCCCATCGATGGCGCCACTTTTGCGTGGTGACAGGTGATGGTGTGATTGATTGATGGACGGCACATGGTCGTTGCTGCAGTATTGAGCCGTTCCAGCAATCTGCAAGTACTTTTCAGCTTGACATCTTGCTGTAGACTAAGTATTGAAGGTCATGATGCTAGTTGCTTAACTGTTGGTCTGTTACCCCCTCATCAATAGGTACCCGGTAAGTGCCAGTGATTAAAAATTGGGACAAGAGACAAGATATTATTATCATTTAGTTCTCAAACTTGATTCCAGAGAAATGAATATATATAGCTACCAGAGTCCAGAAAAAATCACCCATGAATGGTATTTTAACAAGCACAATAGTAGAAAGATGAAAGATGGCATACAAGCTCAAAGACTGGCTGTGGAAGATGAAAGACTGGATCTGAAAGACCAAAGATGATATGGAAAGACCAAAGTAGTGAAAGACCAACCTGCTGTTTTACTGATGTGCCCGACAACGATCCATCTTCTGATGTCCAAATACTTCCGTTCTGCTTCCGTTCTGTCCGCCGCGGCATACGTTGCTGGCCAGAGCGATGCTGCGGCGCTAAAACGGGCGTCTCTCAGGTTCGATGTGCATGGTGACCAGATCTGAGTTCTGACTTGGGTGTGACATGTCAACAGCAGAAAGAGGGGAATACCACACGGCTCGTGCGTCTGCGGGAAGTGTTCGTTGACAAATTGATCGGTCGTCATGCCGAGGCGTTTCCACGTGGATCACGTCACCAGGCTTTTTTCCTTGGACTTCACCTCCACCATGGACGCCATGAACGCGCCTTTTGTGTGTCCTTCGCAAACACACAATACTTTGTCCTTTGTCCTAGAACACGACCGGACCACGCCGCCGCAACCGCGACCGGATTTGCTGAGCAGAGTGGGAGGGGGAAAGGGCCGCGACGGGCACAACGGTGGAACTGGAGGGTCATTGCGGTGTCATCTGAGGCAACGAGTACGTACGTGATCATGATCGCGCTGTCCCGCCTCAAACTTTGCATTCTCATTGAAGGGTCGGAAAGCGCAGGCAGCTGTGTTATGTTGGCCATGTTGTCCGAGTCGTTGGTTGGACCATCCTTATCCCAAGGTCTTTCCAGTGTCCAGTGGCTCAATCTCGGCGAGCGCTCTCTGCTGCCGAAGAGTAGCTTACTCCCCTGCGATCATATTTGGCCACATTCTTTCCTCGCAAGGACGGGAGCCCACGACACTCGTTCCCCCCTCATATTTAGCCACTACCTGGCCTTAGATGCGATATCCATTCCTGTTGGCCACGCCTATGCTGGTTAATTCGCACTCAGGCGCCCGCCGGATGCAGGCCGAGGTGCGAGGCCACAGACGGGCCAAGCTATTTTCCGGACAGGCCTTGTCGATGGACTCCTCAGCAGATTTTGGCGCCGGAGGGCCGGAGCACTGTTCGCTAGTTCAGGAGCGCTGGGGCGTTTTGCGGGAGTGAACGGGCGACAGAGGGTTGTCATTATCTCTTCCTCGCCCCCTTCGAACTTCTATCCCAGTCTCAGGCTCTCCCCTGGTCGACTTCGTGCACGGACGATGGAGCCGGTGGCAGGCCCGGGCGATCTCCATTATTCTCCCTGCGCAAAGACCTCCGTTGAGTCCTCGACACTTATTTCCTTCGGCCATATCTGGCTACGAACGCCCCAGACATCGATATCCATCCCTGCACAATCTCGCCGCCTGTCGCTGCATCTTGCCTTCGAAAATTCACGTTCGCGCGGTATGCAAGCGGGCCGCCTGCGGGCTGCAGGGGCGTAGACAACTTGTGACCTTGTCGATGAGCTCTTCAGCTCCGGGGTGCGCCTCCTCCTCACGCCCGGGGTTCGGCTGCGAGAAGACCACACACACGTCAGCGCGTCAGATGGAAGTAATGCCCGGCACACGCACGGGGATGATGCCGGTTGCGGCGGGGAGGTGGATCAGAGATCTCCGCGAAGGTGTCCCGGCTTTAGCACGAGCGGCGGGCTTGGCGGCGGCGGGCACCGGAGACGGAGCGGGGATTCCGGGCCAGCGTCGGCCAGCTGGGACGTTGCTGGTCATGTGCGAGACACGAGGGATACAAGGGAGGATTGGGGGAGACGCACCTTCTGCCCCGACCCCGGGACGGGCACCGCACAGGGATCGGGACGGTACGCGCGTCCAAAGGGAAGGACGAACCAGGGAAGCAAAGTTGAAGCCAATTGGCTCCTGCGGCCCGAGGTCGACCTCGTGGACCTTCGCGTTCTGCGAATGGCTTCAGTCAGCACCGTTTTAGCTCAATCGATCCCGAGATCGGCCGTGGTGCCCGCATCAGCGGTAGTGCCCAACGCCATGTGCGCGCGTTGAACGCGGGGCGCCAGCACGACGACGCCCACGGCGATGTCGTGGTTGTCGGCAAGAGTGTGTTGACAAATTGATCGCGCGTCACGCGCGCGTGGATCACGTCATCGGCTCTTCTCTTCCTGCCGCCACGACTTGCCCAAGGAATCGTCTTCTTCGCCTTCGCCTCCGCAGCATGTAACCACCGTCCACTGTCCACCGCCACTCCGCTAACCCGTACGCCGAGGCGTCTTTCCCAACGCCAAGCCCGGATAAGGAGCTCCGAGCCAGACGCTGACGCGCTGCGCGACTGGATGCAGCGTCCAGAGTCCGAGTTAAGGGAGGGGGACGTTGAAGCGCGGGATGGCATTGCAGTGGATCCAGAGACAACGGGTGCGTCGTCGGAGCCATTCATCTCATGATTTCCTTACCCATTCCATGGCTAGCCGCAGCCCTTCATCGACGACACTGTGGTTGCCCAGCTATTCTGCACATCGGATGCTTCCTCCCCTCGCTACACCCTCCGACCCGCGCCGCCCCTCCAAGTCCCCACCTGCCGCGTTATAAGGACTTCTCTCAAGCTCACTACCTCTTCGATCGACGATATGTTCCGCCATCCACGTTGTCTTGCGAGCTTGTTAAGGCTCTCCTTCCGAGTCCTTCGACAGCACAAGCCTGAGCAATTGTTCTCATTCATCTCACATCCGTCCTCTGCCATCTCGGCGGTGTCTGCTCACGTAGTGCGTGTCGCGGACGAATCTCCTCCGCAACCATCTCCTTTTCTACGCTATTGGCCCGAAAACATGAAGAACCCGACTTGGTGCTGCCGACGACGTGCTCCATATACCCCTTCACGGAATCTCCTCCGCAACCATCTCCTTTTCTACGCTATTGGCCCGAAAACATGAAGAACCCGACTTGGTGCTGCCGACGACGTGCTCCATATACCCCTTCACGCGGCGACAACCATGTCTTAACTGCTGCTCTTCCCCGCGGACTGCATGCATGCACGCTCGCGATTTGCTGCTGCTCATGCACATGCCCATTTCGCTCCCTGGTATACCAATACATTCCCAACTGCAACGCAAGCTGGGACTCAAGCTCATGCTCCTTTACGCGACGACGCACCCCCCGTCCTTGGGCTTCCCTGAGTGCGCCTCCTCCTCGCGCCCGGGGTTCAGCTATATCACGCGTCAGCGGCGACATATGCAAGTTAGGGGCGGCGCACGGGGATGATACCGGTCGCGGCAGGGAGGTGGATATCCACGAAGGTGTCCCCGGTTTGGGCTTTGGCGTTTGCGGCGGGCTTGTCGGCGGGTGCCGGGGCGGCCTTGCCGCCGGCGGGTGGGCGAGGGGGAAGTTGGGAACGGGGGATTTCGGGCCGACGTCGGCGGGCTGGTGAGAGCTGTTGTGAGCAGAGAAGCAGGGGAGAGGGAGGCGCACCTTCTGCTCCGGTGTTACGTCTGCTACTGGGACGGGCACGGGCACCGCAAGCGCGGCGGAGACGACCGCGAGGACGACGAGCACGCCGAGCTGCATCTTCAAGTTCTTTGTCGATGTCGGAAAAGCGGATAGAGAACGAAGGGAGCGCAGGCGGTCCACGCGCTGGGCAGGATCACACAGTAATCACAGGGGTCGACTAACGAAGCGGGGAGGAAGAAGGGAAAGGGAGAAAAGCGCGGGTGCAAACAAGAAGCCAGCCTGCAAGACGCCAGCGGGGTTAAGTATATCGCGCGGGGCGATGCACGGGTGGCGACCAACATTGCATCCTGACACTGGGCTGCGTCGGAGCGGTGACGGCCAGGAATAGCGCAAAGTCGGCGAATCAGTGCGCGCGAATCAAGAATCGGGACGCACTGAGTTGACGGCAGATGGGTGATCATCAAAGGGCTGCCCGTGATCGACATGACGCACAGACATCGGTGCCCACTGCCACACACAGCGCCAGGGCCGGTCCATCAAGCGCGCGTCTCCAGAAGTGCAGCTACAGGACGGGGGTCTGCACTTCACTGGTCAACACGTGGGAAGATCGACATCTACTCGAGTGATTGACTATCGCGAGCCGGACCGTGTCACCGTGGACGGGAACGCTGTACTGGCCTTGGTGCCAGGTGGTTGCCTACCGATCAGCCACGCACGCGTGAGAGGCAGATTCCAGCGCCCACACACCCGGGAACAGTCGCGGTCGGATATCTACTGGCTCAGGAAACCGGACGTGCCAGAGCGGGGCGGCGCGGCTGGGTCACTGCAGGCCGCATTACCGCTCGCGCCCCTGCCGTTCGTCTGCCCGAAAACGCCCCCGCGCTCGCACACCGACGAGGGTCAACCAATCAGCGGCGATGCAGAACCCCGTTTTAGACGTCAATGGACGTGATTCACGATCCTGCAATCTGCGACTGCGTCTTCAATGATGAATCAGCGTGCACAGCCCGGGCCCGCGCGTTCGCCGCGGTGGACTGTGAAGAGCCTGAGATAGCACCTTGGGACGCGCTACCTGACTCCCATCTATCTGGGTTCTGCGATGGGGAATGCGGATGTGACAAATATTCTTTCTTTTTATTCGACACATCTCTGTTTCTTTTCGCGCAGCCTGCGGCTGCGCTCGGATCATCTTACTTACATAATCACGGTCACAGTATATATATCACATCTGTAACGGATTGTGTTTTGGTCAATACTATCATTTACGCCAGTCACTCCTCTTCGACAATCGACATCGTGTGTCGGGACTAGCCAACAGCTCCCCGCCACATATTTTTGACTGTCCGCCTTCGTCGACACCTTCGCTGGTCCCCTCTGGTCTGATCAACCCGAGCCCCGCCTCCCTGTCGACACCCCTCATTCACCAAAACACAAAATGTCGACACCCGACAACCCCAACTCCCCTCCCCATACCCGCGGGCGGACCCGGGCTGGTCTAGCACCTCCCCCGGCCGCTATCTTCGGTCTCACGACCACGGACTTGACATCCTCGTCGAGTCCCGCGGCAAGCGAAGCTCTCGATAGCTCTCGCGCAAATCCAGCCTCTGTGGCAGGCTCTGTGGAGCTTCCCTCGCTGGAGCACCAGGATGGCTTGCAGGATGCTGGTGGCCTCGCGGCCGCTGGCTCTGCTTTGCTTGGTGAATTGCCGTCGTTGACGAGCAATGCTGACCTTGGGACATTGCCTCCCACAGTGGGGGGTGATACAGGTGGCTGGACCACCGTTTCCCATCGCAACTCGCGGCCAAACAGCCCGAGATCCGCACGGTCTGATGGCAACCAGGTAATTAGTAGCGATGGACCTAGTTTACAGTCGCAATCTACCCTGGCACGAGCAACCCGCTCCATGCGTAAGAAGGAACTTCGTACCCTGTCTCAGCGCTATGCACTTCTTGCAAATCAGTTGTCCGACTCCTCAGATGGCGAGCAAGAAGACAAAACTGAAAAATCAGCGGCTGACACCCCACTTGGCACCGTGCCAACTAAGTCAGCTGAAACTGCCCTTTCGGATCAAAGTAGCGCCAGCCGCTACTACCCCCAGACTGACCCTGTGTTCATTGAACCAGTCAGTGCTGGACCTTCCCGTGACAAGGGGAAAGGCATTGATCCCGGTAACTGGGGTAATACCTCGTTGAAAGACTATGATGATGAGCAGTTGGCGGCAGAAATTGAGGCGCAACGTAATGCCTTCGCCAACTTTGAGGAGATCCACCGCATCATCAAAGAAGAACCCGTGGCGACTCCGCCGGGATTCTTTGGCACGTTGCCGAGGGCAACAGTTGACAAGCCCCAGCCCGCGGCTGTCGTGCTCACCCGCGTTGAACCCTCTCCAACCCAGGAGGGCAAGGGCATGCCCGCTCCCGCTTCTGGCAAAGAACTGCCTGGTCAGACCACAAGCGAGGATATAGCCGCTGTGCGCAACGAGATGAACAGTCAGTTCGCTCGCTTGGAGCAGTTGATCGCCGGGCAGAAGCTTGCGCCGGCGTCAGAACGCGCCAAGGCACGCAAGGCCCTGGACGAGCACATCGAAAATCAGGCAAGCGAACATCCCCGCCAGGTGCGTGCGACTCCACGTCGCATGGCCATCCGCGGATTTATCGCTCAGGCAATCGGGGAGCTTCCGAAAGCGACCGCAGTGTTGTCGACCCCAGACCCGTCAGACGGCTCCAGCAGTTCAGACTCGGATGAGTCTGACCGCAGAGGCGGCGGTGATCAGAGTGGCGGCAGACGCGGCCCGGCAGCTACCCCCCGGGACGGAGCATCATTGCGCCGAGCGAGGGGGCAAGGCTCCAAGATGCGGATCAAACCAAAGGAGCCGAATGCATATGATGGTAGCCCGAATGCTACCTCATTCTTCCGTCTTATTCGGGAGTCATCCGCATATGTCGAGCTGGGTTGTATACCGCCTGAGAGGCAGGTCTTCTATATTTCATATTTTTTGAAAGGATCTGCGGCGGATTTCTATAACCAAGTAGTTGTTCCGAAGGAACGCGAATACACCCTGACTCGATTTTTTGAGGATTTATTCGAGTTCTGCTTCCCGGTGGACTATCGGAATAAGCAGCGTCGTCTGTTAGATCGATGCTATCAAGGCAGTCGCACAGTCGCAGCACACGTAGCTCACTTCTCTGAGATATACAATACCATTGGGATTGTGGACACACAAGAGAAGATCGTCAAGCTATGGAATAGCTTTGACGAGGAAGTACAGCAGGAAATGCACCGTGAGAAGCTGGACCCCGAGACATCATCTTGGGATGAAATCGTGAAGGGCGCAATGGATGCCGAGATTGTTGTTAACCTCGGGCGTCGCAAGCGCACTCATGCGGGGAGCTCCAAATCAATCCACGCCAGCACTTCCCAGTACCACATAGCCTCAACGACAGCGCCAGGCGCTCGCACTGGCAGCACGGGCTTCCGTTTCCGAAAGCGATTGGCTGGAGGGCGCCGACCTACGTCGATGCGCACCGCGGCTGTGGATGTTCCTGCGGGACCTTCAAGGGAAAAGAAGCTCTCGCCGCAGAGGCGCCAAGAGCTTCTTGCGAAAGGCCTGTGCTTCAATTGCGAAGAAGCAGGCCATCTCGGACGCAACTGCCCGAAGATCACAACGATGACCTCCAAAAGGAAGGGTAAACCCCCGGGTATTGGAGTTCGAGCCACGTGCTTCGTCTCTGCGTCACCCCCTGATCTGTATGGGCCATCGGAGGTCGTGGAATCCATGCACACCGCCGCGGTTACCTTTGGATGCGGAGCCCAGGAGGGCGGGGAATACCCTGCACCTTTGGAAACTGAGATTGACTCCGCTACAAAGGCGACTGCATGCACACCTCAGCCGATTGGCGATATAATTTCGCTTTACGCCAAGCTTGCGTTGGAGCTCGCGCAGCCCTTCCCGGGTGAGTGTGAGGTGGAAGATAACCGCTTCCTGGTCTACCGCACGTCAGACGCACTGTACTGTATTTCCGACAGTGTTACCTTGCTCGATGTGGAGGTCTGCGCCACCGACTTGGCTGACCCAACTTTCATGCTCGGGTACTGGTATGCCACGCAGCGCTGCGAAGCGCTTGGAATTGATGTGTCAGCGGCTTCGACGGAAGAGCGCTTCTGTGTTGAGATGCTCGACGCGCTCATGAACACTGTCGGGATCATACTTGATAATGCCCACGAAGCCGAGGGTCGATTCAGGGTTACAGAACAGGATGACGAAACACTTACTGTCCTGGACCGAGGCTGGCTCATGGCCGCCCCGCTCTTGAAGGAACAGCTGTGCGACACGTCGTTTGACCTCTGCGCTTGGTTTGCGGCCGCCGCTAAGACAGTCGATGACTCGTCTGAGGAAGGCACAGAGGACTGTGAGCCATACGATATCGGCAATGATGATCCACATACCGACCCGGATATGCCATCGCTCCGCTCCACCAGCGACTCCGATGATTCAGAGGATAACGCCTGGGAAGCTGGAGTGCCGGATTGGTTTGCCGATCACTTCCACGCTCGCTGTGAAACGCGGCGTAAAATTGTGGATGATTCGGGGCATATGCATGCTCACGCGCCATTTAGCCTGCGACAGCTTGGAGATGCGCTAGGCGATGGCGTTGTGAAGTTTCTGGAGTTCTGTCAGCCATACCCAGGTGACGAACGACTCTCACCATCGAACGCAAAGCGGAACAAGGTTCGCTTTCGAGCCTATCGCTGCTCTGATGAGGCCTACATTATCCGCGACCAATACTTTGGTGAAGATGTTATGCTGCCGATCGAATACCTGCGCGCGGAGGACTTCGCCCTAGCGGGGCTGGTATGCGCGCCATAAGGCGCGCATGCTAGACCTCGATCTGCTGGACTACGCATCACACCAGATCTACCGCATGGTTATTAATGACCTCCTTGGCTCGTCGGTTGAGCAGTACCTTGATCGTGTCAGCCAGACTCTTCCCCACTTCCAGAACTCTTCGCTATCTCTAGTGGAGGATGAACTGCGGCTATACACGGGTCCAAAGTCTTACCTGTTCCTCGTTCCAACCCTCCATCACCACACTCTCATTTCGGAGTCGATGCTAATGAACCCCAAGCTGGATATTGTTAACTGGATGCTTCGACAGCAGGAGAAAGACGACCTACTGCGACACAACTCCCGGCACGGCTGGGCGACGACTGAACAGCGGGATTACCTCGCCTGGCTATTCCGAGACCCCGATCCGGAGGGCGTGTCGTGCCTCTATTGCGGTGGTGTGCAGATACCGCCAGGCAGCCTTAGAGGCATGGCGCGCGCCGCCGCAACGCCCCGCGTTCCCGACCAGATTGTTGCAAAGCCGATCGTTGTCGTTGTTCGCATCAACAACGAGCCCGTCCGTGCGCTCATCGACTCTGGTTCTGTTGGAGATCTCATCTCAACGACCATTGTGGATCAGCTACGTCTCCGCAAAACAGAGCTAAAGAATGCCATACCACTGCAACTGGCAGTCCAGGGTTCTCGCTCCAAGATCAACCACTCTGTGAATGTCAAGTTTGAGTACCAGGACATAGACGAAAAACGTACCTTCCTGGTCGCCAACCTCGGCGGGTACGATATGATACTGGGCACCTCGTGGATGTTTCAACACAAGGTGAGCATTGGGCTCAACCCTTCACGCGTTCTAGTTGGCAGCGCTGACTCGCTCCCTCTAGATGGAGTAGCAACGGCAAAGATCTTCGCCAATGCGATGGACGTGGAGGCGGATGCGGTGGAGTCGGCGCGACAGGAGCTGCTAGAATATGCTAAACCGATTTGTAAAGTCGCCTCTGAAACACCCTTACCTCCACTGCGAGCGATTAACCACACCATACCTTTGATTGACGAGTCGAAAATTCTGCCCTGGAGGCCATCACGTTGTCCTGAGGCACTTCGGCACTTGTGGAACGAGAAGCGGAAAGCTTACCTGAGTACTGGGCGTTGGAAAATTACCAACTCGGGCAACACCGCCCCCATGCTTCTGATTCCCAAGGCAAAGTCGAACCCCCCAAAGCTGAGGGTGGTGGTGGACTTGCGCGCGCGAAACGCGAACACGCGCAAGATGACGTCGCCGCTTCCAGATATGGACGGCATCCTACGTCGTGTCGCTCGATGCCCATTCCGTTCGCTGATTGATGGCCAGGACGCATATGAGCAAATTCGCGTTGTGCCAGAACATGTCGAGCGAACAGCAGTGAGCACACCTGATGGCAATATGGTCAGTCTCGTTCTGCAACAGGGAGACTGTAATGCACCGGCAACGTACCAGTCGTTGATGAACTACCTTTTTTTCGGACTTCATTGGTCAGTTCATGGACGTGTATTTGGACGATATTATCATCTATTCAAACACACTACATGAGCATATCGAGCATGTCAAGAAAATCATCGACGTACTGAAGGAACAAACCCTCTACCTTAGCGCGGGCAAGCTTCAGCTGCTCAAGCCCGAGCTGAAGGTCCTTGGACGGGTCGTCGATGATCGGGGCATCCGTATGGACCCCGACAAGGTCGACTCGGTGCTAAATTGGAAAACCCCGACCAACCGGGACTTGCTGCGTGGGTTTCTGGGGTCGGTTGGCTACCTTGCTGATGACCTGGCGGGAATTCGCATACCCATGGGTGTCCTGCACACATTAACAAGCGACTCCGTCGCGTTTCGCTGGGAATTTACTCACCAGCGAGCGTTTGAAGATATCAAACGGATAGCGGGAAACGGCCGCGAGCACCGTCGCAAACCGCTGGTTTATGGCCCCGAGGCGCCGCCGATTTGGCTCGTCACTGACGGGTGCAGCTCTGGGGTCGCTGGTGTTGTCTGCCAAGGAGAAGACTGGAAAGACGCGAAGGTTGCCGCATTCTTCTCTGCCAAACTCAACCCGGCGCAGCAGAACTACCCCGTCCATGAAATCGAGATGTTGGCGGGCGTCGAGTCGATGCTGAGGCACCGGGACATCTTGCAGGGGTGTCAATTCACCTGGGTAACCGACCACAAAGGCCTAACGCACTTGGTGAAGCAAAGAAACCTGTCAGGGCGTCAAGCTCGATGGATAGAGAAGATTTCCGGGTTTGACTTTGAAGTAAAATACGTACCTGGGACCGAAAACGTGTTGGCAGACGCCCTGTCTCGTCTCTACTCCAACGAATCGCCCGGGACCGTTCGCGCGAGGTCAGAATACACGTATTTTGACGTGCTGGATAATGACGAAATGAATCTCGAGCTGGGCGCAGTTAGCGCGCCGGTTCTGACCGGGATCGAAGCTAATGCACTTACCAGTGATAGAGTCACGCGTTCTATGGCTCGCAATGCTCGAGCGGCCGCCGCCCGAGAACCTGGCGGCGCTGGGGGCGCTGACGCGTCGGCAGGAAGTGGGTTTGGGTCCAGGAGCCCTACGGCCCCAAAGGAGGGCGGGAGGGTACCCCTGAGCGCGAATCCATCGCCTGCTGAAGCCCCCGCAACGCGACAGCCGAGAGGAAAGCCAAGGAAAGTTGTAGAGGTGGAGGGGAAAGCCACGTCAAGGGCACAGCCTCACGAAGAGCCCGCTGATCCGGATGACAAACGCCCGGGTGCGGTGCTTCTTGCCTCTGACGACAACACTCCTGCGGGCGAATCAACGGACAGATTGCCCGCGGACCTGGAGACCGAGCTGGAGAGCATGGACAACTCCCTCCTCACAGTGGTCAACTCGGGTTGGCATGGCTTTGACCTCGCGAAATTTGTCGCTAACAAGTACGAGCAAGATGCTTTCTTCAAGCAGATCTTGGCCACGCCGAAGGCATTCAAGAACTTCGAGGTGCAAGAGGGCTTGGTGTACCTCAAGGAAGTCGATCGGCGGGTGCTCTGCATCCCGCGGCTTACTTACCACGGTCGTAACCTCCGCGAAATTGTCATTTCCGAGGCTCACTCGATTCTGGCGCATCTTGGCACGCGCAAGACCCTCGACTATCTCAGGGACCATGTATGGTGGAAAGAGATGGTCGATGACACACATAGCTTCTGCGAAACGTGCGCCACCTGCAAACGAAGCAAACCGAGCAACCAGAAGCCTTACGGACTTCTGCACTCGCTCTCGCCACCGGTCGCTCCCTGGGACTCCATTGGCATGGACTTCGTCGGCCCGTTGCCAGAGTCAAAGAACCGCGATGGTACCTTCAACTCCATCACAGTTGTCATTGATTTACTGACCGGCATGGTGCATCTCGTTCCCAGTCGGATCAACTACACGGCAAGACAGCTTGCGGAGCTGATGTTTGAGGAGATATACAAGCTCCACGGGCTTCCGAAGTCGATCATCAGCGACCGGGATGTACTATTCACTAGTACCTTCTGGAAGCGGCTTCACGAGCTCGTTGGTACTAAGCTTCACATGTCAAGCGCCTACCATCCCGAGTCGGACGGAGGCACCGAAGCGCGCCAAACCGCACTGTCACCCAGATGTTGCGCCAATGCATTGGCCCAAGCCAACGTGACTGGGTGGCGAAACTCCCGGCAATTGAGTTTGCCATGAACTCAGCTCGGTCGGAAAGTACAGGCTATGCGCCATTTTTCCTTAACACAGGGCGAATGCCGCGCTCGCTTCTCTGGAATTCTGACCGCTCACGGCAGTATCCTGGCATTGCGAACTTCGCTTTGCAGCGCCGGCTTGCGATCATGGCCGCGCACGACTCTATGCTGGCGGCACGGGTGAAGCAGACCCGGTTTGCAAACCGGAAGCGCCAGCCTGCGCCATTCCTGCTACATGATCTGGTCTACCTGTCAACCAAGAACTTGAAGTTCGAAAAGGGGCTCGCTCGGAAGCTCATACCGAAATTTGTTGGGCCCTATCGGATTACGCGGGACTTCGGGGAACTCTTCGTTTCAATTGGAGTTGCCTCCAAACCTGAAACAACGGGGAGTTCATGACGTCTTCCACGCCTCGCTGCTTCGAATTCATATCCCGAATGATGACCGCAGATTTCCCGGTCGCCTCGACTCGCAATTGGGCATCTCAACGGATGCGGCCACGGACGAATGGGCTGTGGAGAAGATTACGAACCACTACGGCCGACGCTCAGAAGCGTTGTTTGAAATCCTGTGGAAGTCTGGCGACACCACCTGGATGCCGTATGCGCAAGCAAGCCATCTTGCTGCAATGGCCGAGTACCTGGAGGCCCTAGGCTTGTCAGAAATCGCCCAGCTCGGCTACGGTGCTGGAGAACCGCCCGCGGACGACGCGCAACTATTTGCGGGATCCATTCAGCTCGCTTATAGCGGTATAACTGCTGGGTTAGAGCCAACGACGCTCCACTGCTCACCATTCCCCGCTCTATACGGCTCACACCCTGGTATCGCGAATGAACACCTGGAACGCTGCCCACCGCTCGTCTGCGCAAGCGCTATCGGGCGCTTCAACGAGCTGTATAATGGGGTTTTCGTGCGTCTTGACCGCTTGACACTGGCGTTCGTGCTCGGAGATGACCGCCAGTCCATAGTTGCTGCCGACCTGCTGCAACTTGTCGTTAACCGCGCTCATGTGCTGATGGAGGCTCTGGCAAACAAGGAGAGCATGCTGGACGTCGACCCAGTGGGTTACCGCGAGGTGGCCGACCGTCTTAATGCTGTTAGCACTCGGACTAAAATCGGCTTTCCCCGCCTCAGCTCTTCTCAATTCGGCGTCGTCGTCCCTCCTCCTCCTGGTTCTCGCCTCCCTACACTGGAGGAATTTCGCGTCCGCCCCGAGGATATCCGCGTTGAGCCCGAGGCTACTCCCCGCACCCCCCGTGGTCGACCCTGCCCTGCTCATCCAGCCCGGGTTTGTCCAGGTTAAGGCTAGCGAGTTGTACGCGGTGAAGGAAGACGTCGAGGACAAACTAGTGTTTATGCTGAGGCGCAAGTTCCCGCATGCCGACGTCGATGGCAACAGCGTGGTGCGCTCGATGTTCCCGTCGCTGTTCGGGCGCGTTCGACTCTCTGCCAGCGCCAGAGCCAGAGGATGGACGGCGAGGACGCCAAGGGCAGAAAGGCAGCGATTTGCGGGGAAAGAACAAGTCAAAGGGGAAAAACAAGCGCCGTGCGCCGACCCCTTCTTCCCCCGAGACCCCATCGGACTCATCGCCGCCCGCCACTCACAGTCACCATGCACCAACTAAGCGCCTTCGCTCCCACTCCCCCTGCGCTGCTCGCCAACCACACAAATACCATGGCTGCTATGACCGCGCGTCCACCGTGGCCATTGGGAAGAATGCGACCGCCTCTAACCACCCTAAGACCTTCTTCCACTACAAGAATATTGGCCCAAGCAACACCGGCACGTCGAGCGTCACCTCTGCATCCTCCCACATCACTCCCATCACTGCCGCAACACCTGCGGCGCCAGCGGAAACCACCCTCGCAGGCATTGTTCCAGCCCCCTGCAGCCACTTCCGACACTAATGGAGGCTTGTCGCCGTTCTCAATGACCCTCGCCGAGGGAAACGACCCAACGGATGTACCCGTCGATGCGGCTGCTCAGCCCGTGGAGACCATGGACACTTCGGGGTAAGGTCCTCGCGTCGAGGACCTGGAGGGCGTATGTGACAAATATTCTTTCTTTTTATTCGACACATCTCTGTTTCTTTTCGCGCGCAGCCTGCGGCTGCGCTCGGATCATCTTACTTACATAATCACGGTCACAGTATATATATCACATCTGTAACGGATTGTGTTTTTGGTCAATACTATCATTTACGCCAGTCACTCCTCTTCGACAATCGACATCGTGTGTCGGGACTAGCCAACAGCTCCCCGCCACAGCGGACCCGCGTTCTGGAATCCCGATCTACCGCCACTCCCCATGGCTCATGGCTGGCCAGGCCTATTCGTAGACGCTGGTGGCGATATAAGGGCCAGCCGGTGCGGGTGACGGCTCTCAGGCCAGTCCTCTGACGCACTCCCTTCCTCCCTCTTCGTTCCCATTCCCCCGTCAGTTTCAATTCCTTCTGCCAACGCCGCGCGTTGTTTGTTGCATCACATCTACCCCACCCACCAAACAAAGGAAGCAAAAACACGATATGCGCTCTGCACTCGCCGTCTCCGTCGTCTGCGCCCGTCCTCCTGGCCACCAACACCGCCGCCGCGCCCATGCCGATGCCCGAGAGGCCGCCCGCCCGCCGCCGTCAAGGTCGTCGCGCGGACACCCGAAAGGCCGCCCGCCGCCGTAAAAGTCATTTCCCGCGAGTTCCCCTTCGTGCGTTAGGCCACGTTCTCCCCGCACGCAACCGCTGACAGTTACTGTTATAGGGGCGGCCACCACGGCCCGCATGGGACGACGATGGGCCGCGAGCTCCATCCTGACGGCGAGGACTCCGACGCCGACGCCGACGCCGACTTGGACCTCCCTGCAAGCGACTCGGACGACGCTGCGGTGGAGGCCCGGGAGGAACGGCCCCGGCCCGGCAGCGGTGGGCATGGCGGCAGCAACCACAACATCGAGACGACCATGCGCCGCAAGCGCGAGCGCCGCCCCGCACCGGGCCGGCCCCACCCCGTCGTTGGCCGGGACGACACATTGGTAAGCACGCGCGAGGAGTGCCAGGGATAATTTGCTCACAGGGTTGTACAGCTCGGGAACGTGCCCACCGTCGACGCCGTGTTCGATGAGCTCGACCTGCGCGAGGTCCTCCCCGCCGCCCGACGCCGACCCGGCTGTCTCCGCAAGCGCCAGTGCCGCCGACGCGGCCACCACGGCGGACCTCGGGGTGCGTATCCATCGATTGAGCTAAAGCGGTGCTGACTGAAGTCATTCGCAGAACGCGAAGGTCCACGAGGTGGACCCGCAGGAGCCCGACGGGGTGCGTCATCGCCTAGGCATGCCGTTCGCCTATACATGTATTACCAGCCATCGTATTCGTATTTGGGACTGGCCCGTTATTGATTGGAGCGGGCCGAATTGTGCACGAATATTTTGTTTCTCTTGATTGTGCAGGGTTAGCATATTTTGCGATTGGTCTTCCTTTTTGCTGGGGCAGCGCATGTCCGAAGTTCCGAACTTGAAGTTGCCTGTGGGTGCGAGCCTTGGCAACCACTGTGCATGCGCGCCGTCTTGCTCCCGCCTCCGGGCCGCCGCTGCCTGCGAACGACGCACTGGCATCCGCTCGCGTGTCCCGCAAACGTAGGCTGGGAATGGAGGCGTGGCATCACTGCGTTCCGGGCCTCCAGCCGCGACGTGTGTTCGACGCGCACGCACGCGCCGCGGTGTACGGGTCTTCGTTGCGGCCATGCCTTTTTGGCGGCGGCGTTGTGTGTGCAGCGCACTGATCATGAAGGGAAAGATGGGCTGGGGCTAGGCTAAATATGATTGATGGGCATAATATATTACACTCATATCATATTTAACACCGCAATATATTTGTAGTATAGTATAAGTATCAGCTGAAAAATGTCAATATGTTAGGAATATATTCAACTATTATTACTCTTATGTTCAGCAGATGTCATGTGAATGTATGCACATGTTTGTCATGGGCTTCAGCAATTCATTTGCTCCACATTTCCATTTGTGGGGTCACTGCTGTTAATGCCCCAAATTGGTATCAAAAGCTGTAAAATGTGACCAATCTTCATTGGAATACAAAGCTGTACATGATATCTTGCACCCAGTACTATAAAACATTATTTCCAGCGCTATTTACCATACTGACACCTAAATATGTACCAAGTACTCTCAATTTTCCAAGTAAGTATATAAAGTTTACTGACTTGGGTTGCCATTGATGCAGATAACAGTCGACATGACATCTGCGTACTTATGAGAGTACCCAGATATTTAAGTGGGTTATTATGCAACTGTGTGCTATTCTGTAATGAGTGGGATTTTTGTTTTATAATTAGAAATTCACTTTATCAAGTAATATTCAAAGCTGGGGTGTAGCCCCAGCCCTGTCTAGTAGGTAGTATCCCACTTCATTATCCCCCCTTGTTATCAATCACTATTGCAGCCATGCCCATCCCATATAGGCCTTACAGACCTTCTATTTCACTATTTGTCTTATTATCTTGTTCCCCTGAATATACACCCTTTTGTTTGCTTGTTTTTTATCTTCCTGTCAATTGCTTGCCATTGCCATTTGGCCCCAGAGTCACTTCCTACAAGAGCCTTGAAAATGGATTTTACACTAGAATTGAACACAGGCTTACCTAAAAAGGGCAACTGGCCACCCGCTTGTTCAAGCAGGGTACATGACCTTGGTCAGGTGCTAGGTTGGCTCATAAGGTATAGCAAAACATGGTCTTATGCATTTAAGAAAAAAAAAAAAAACACTGGTCTATAGTTACAGGTCTCTATAGACATGACATGTTTTGCCTCTGTTCAAAAGAGCAAAGCCACACAACAAAGACTATGACATGCACCATTTATTTATTGTTGTGGACCTACACGGAAACCAGGTCTTGACCCTCTTCACAAGGAAAAGCCATGTCACAAGGACAACTTGGATTGTTTCTGCATCTCTCCTAGATCCAACAGTAGGGCTGTAGGCCGTCGCCGTAATATACGGCGTACGGCTGGCCATAATACGGCACCGTAACAGTACCGTAAGGCCCGTTGGGGACCGAGTTGACTACGGTACAGCATGGGGCCATCCCGACGCCGTCAGAGGCTGTACCGTACACGGCCGTAGCCGTATACGGTATGGCCTACAGCCCTATCCAACAGCCTAGAGAGCAGTTCTATAATGCCCACCAACTAAATCTACTTTTGCACCTAAGTTGAGCATTTTTGTGTCTCTAGGGTAGAGCATGGGTCTTGGTCAACCCACAGGGTCTAATAAGCCAGTATAATTCAACAATTCACTATTGTCAATGGCTATCATCATCCACCTTACTATATTTGAATATTCTGTGACCATAATATAGTTTAGTTTAAACATAATCATATCAACAAAGGACATAATATATTCATCAAATTCTGGCCAATACTAACTACCACAGTACTAGCTGCTAGGACCTTATCTCACATATTGTCACCACAACAAAGATGATGACAAGGTTAACAACATAGGCCAAGATATTCCAGAAATTAAGAATCAGGATACTTAACTGAGAGTGTGGGCACTGCTGTTATCATCTGAATAGGTATGTGTCAGACTGCGGGTCGGGCCGTGCAAGGACTTCTCCTAAGAACGCGTGCCCGGAACAGAACAGATGGATAGTCAGGCCCGCAAGAACGGCGAGCGGGGTAGATCGAAACTGAAAGGGCCCGTGAACTCGGTCCCTTGTTGCGGTCGGTGGTCGAAGGTTCGAATCGGGTCGTGTCGGGCCTGATGAGTTGTTAACGCCTCCTTGCATGGAGTAAGGTGGTTCTTTAGACGATCTAAGCGATAGAGTACAGGGTACACTATCGCGCATTATATACGCGGGCCCACAAAGGGGGGTGATCGGACACCCTGGCCTCTCCTTCTCCTCCTCGCTCCCGTTCCTGGCCGCAGAGGGGATGATCGTACGTCCCTTGCGGGCCAGGCGCTACTCCTAACCTCCTAGCACTTCTCCCCAGTCCCCTTGTGTCGAGTTGGGCTCGGCGACGGCTCGACGCGTTGTTCTCGGTCACGTGCTTCCCACGTGTGCGTTCCTCCTACTGGGGTGCATGTTCCCCGTCGTCACGTGCTGCATGCTACGGGGCCCGCGATGGCCCGACATCAGCGCCGGAGCGGACGGGCCGGGTCTTATCCGTGACAATATGCTCACTCCTTTCACTTGAGTGCCTTGTTTAGGGTTCCAACTATTTGATTTCTGTTTGTAAAATTTTCAAATAAAATAGAAACCAAACACAAACAGTAATAAATGTTTAAAACT